AACCAGTTTTATATCGTTTCAAAGTAGGGTCGTAGTTTGAAATTTCTAGAACTTTGATTTCTCGAAAACTCTTTATTCCTTAGCGACCTGGCTTTGCAAGGCAGTTTATATTTATGGGCTGCACATTCCCCGATACTTCCGATCCCCTGGGATAAAAAGATAAAAAAATTAAAATTTCCCCCAAAAGTCAAGAGTCGAACCCACGACACAAAGAGCCGCACGAGCAGCGATCCAGCACGCAACTTTCTGAGCCACCGGACCACACAAGAGGAGCGCGATTCAGCCCCAGTATAAGAGTCACGACCAAAACATGCCCTACTGCCGGGGTGCGCGGCCCCAGGCCCCGAAGGGGTGGGGGCGCATGAACCCCGCTGAACCGCGAGCTACTTCGGCTGATCCCTGGGCCGACGGTTCCCGGACCACACCCCAGAGCGCTCGCCACTCCGCTGTCGGCTCCACTTGTCAACGGAGAGTTCAGTACTCGGTCCTGCTCTACGAGCCTTGGTCCCCCGGATTGCACGCCTTCAGGTCGGGTGAAGTCCACCTCCTCGACGCGCTGCAGCCCGGGTCAAAATCTTAACTAAAAGGCCAATAAATGCACTCTCCGCTAGCCTAGCTAATTTACTGGCCATTTTCCTTGTTCCTGGCCAGGAGTCGACCCGGGCTGCAGCGCGTCGAGGAGGTGGACTTGACCCGACCTGAACGCGTGCAATCCGGGAGACCAAGACTCGTAAAGCAGGACCGAGTTCTGAACTCTCCATGGACAAGTGGAGTCGACAGTCCAGTGGCGTGCGCGCTGAGGCGTGATGCAGAAGGCACCCTATCGGCCCAGGGTTCGAGTCCTGGTCGGTGCGAACATTTTGTTGTTGTTTTTCGCAGGGGGGTGGGGGACCTGCTGAGTAGGCGATCAAGTCCACCTCCCCATGTCGGCTGGTCTGCTTTTGTCCTAACCCTTGGTCCCCGCGCCGCAAACTACTAATTAGGAAAAAATGATCCTCGGTCAGTATTCGAACCGACAATCATTCGCGTCCCGGGCGCGCGCTCTACTAACTGAGCCAACGATGAGGCCTGTGTATAGATGAAGCTTATTTCCGCTGTGGCTCACACCCCGAAACATATTGCTGGCAGAGGGGCAAAAGGGTTCCGTCGGCGTCGACTAGATTCGAACCAGCGTCTGTTTGCGTACTGGCCAATCACATCAGATGTCACACGGCTGTAAAGTCATGGCCAGCGGAGCGCGAAAAATATCACCCGGCCGAGATTCGAACCAGCGACCAGGTTCATACCAGGCCCTTACGCTACCAACTTGGCCACGACGAACCGATACAAAGCACAACCTTCGGCGGCATCCGGATCTCAGCTGTGACTGACGCCTGAAGACACTTTGCCAGCAGAGCAGGAAAAATGATCGCGGACGGGATGCGAACTACCGACCATCCCCACGATCTGCCAACGATCACGCTTTCACACGCTCGGCTACCAGCCTGCTTCTCCGGGGCCCAGGTCTGAGCTCGGTCCTTCCTAACGGGAGAAAAAGCGACAAAGAAAAACTTTGCCCTCGCCCGAGAGTTGATCTGAGGGCCCGACAATTTTGGTTCGGATGAAGCTGCATGTGGTCATGTCGACTGTAGCTACAACTGTTTAACTACAAAAGGGGCGTGTGGCTGGTGGCGTCGGACATCGTATGTTGCCCCATTTGTGACCACATTTTTGTGTCCATGAACAGGGACGTGTTTACTACCACTTGTCGCCGCGACACGAGTGCGAGGTAGGCCACGGCTTCTCTCTAAGGCGTCTGGCGTCTATAGACGGTTGAGTTTAAGCTGACTCGGGCACTGTCGGCTGTAGCTACACGATTGTAGCTACAAACAGGGACGTGCCACCCACCCACAGTATGGCTACGAAATCCTATATGACATGGGTTTTCAGATACGTGTAATAAGGTATCTAATGGTAAATCAAAAGAATATTTGCATTTAAACTTTTAATTATTGTTAGGAAACTGACATGAACAATGAACTACTTTATGACAAAGCATGGCATCGTATGGCTAACCTAAGAGGCACTTCTTGGCATATAGAGTTGACACTACCATTATAGACTATGACTGGAGCTGAATCTGAGCATTACACCGCTCTTTCACTGACATCTCATAAGAATAACAGTCCTCCAACGTCTCTTGAATAATACATCACAACACAACAACATCTACAATGTTAAGCCTCAAATAGCAGTATGAAAGAAAACAAACAGCCAACGAAGTTGTAACAGCTTGGTAATATTTACAGAATTTTTTGTCTTATTCTTACAGCACAATTATGACATGCCTAAAATATTAACTATCAAATAACTTGGTATGGTAACAATTTATTCTACTAGAGAATATGATCAAATTTTTGGAGACAAATCCATGAAATAACAAGTTTTTTGTTTTGTTTTTTAAACTGATGTCAAGTACTTCTCTGATCAACATTTCTCATAAATTGAGGTATTTTCCCAATTAGAATTTTTATTTAACTTTTTTCTTTTAAGGCAAAAGGCGAATAGATAAAAATTCATCAGGTGCAGAATATAATGAATCTAGAATGATGGAATTTTTAAAGAGTAATTAGCTATGCATTTTTGCACACTGACATATATGCTCAAAATCTGGAATACTAGCTATAGTAAAATAATCAACACACATCACATTGTCCTTTATCAAAGGCACCTACTACTAAAATTGGAAAAGGGGGAGAGAGACCACTGAAATCCACATCACGACAAACCACTTTTGACTTAGGTAACTTGTGCGATGACAAGAGATATCCTTATGTTAAGGCTATAGGCAGCAAGTCTTTTAAAAAACAGACCACAATGATACCTCTCCAGTACACAACAAAATAGCAGTAAACAACAAACATCAACAACAGCATCATTTACATAACGCCCAACAGCCGGGCAGGGGACATCAACATGCGAGTAACGGGGGCCGTGGCGTTGACTGAGGCGGGGCCGCAACTCAGAGGTACAGGGTGCCGAGTCGCTTGTGGCCCGTGAGGCTGAGGCGGCCGCGGTGCGCCTCCAGCGGCGCCACCGGCGGTGCGCCCCCGCGCATCTCCCACACGAGGTTCGTCAGCGACCTGCGGGTGAGAAACAGCCTGTGGTTAGTATGCCAGAGCCGAGCCGGGGATGTTTGGGGCCGGCTGGTCGGACCGAAAACCTGCACACCAACATTGGCGTTGGTATAACTGTTACTCACCTCGGCCGAGAGAGCTTCCGAGACCGCTTCTCCGGGAGCTTGTTGCCGGGCCCGGAGTCCCCGGACGTCCTGCCGCCCGAGTGGGACGAGTCCAGGGTGCCGACGGCCGCCCCGGCCACCGCGGGACCCTGCGCCGGCGGGGGTGTCGGGGACGCGACGATGACCCCAGCGGCGCCCGCCGTCTCCAGGTCCATGGCACCGTGAATGTTGTTGAGCGACTTGTAGCGCGCCGCGCTGTGGCCGAGGCCGGTGGGCGCGACGCCGTTGGACGGCAGGTGCTTGAGGTAGAGGCGCGTCCCCTTGCTCTCCTTGTGTCTGCTGCGCTTCTCCGCCTTCTGCGGCACGCCGGCCGCCACCACGGCGGGCGGGACGTGGTGGTGCTGGTGGAGGTGGTGGTGAGGGTGGTGCGGGTGGAGCAGCAGCTGTCCCTGACTGAGCCCGCCGTTGAGCGCGTGTCCATGTACCTTTCCGGCGCTGCTCACCTGCAAGAACACTGACGTTAGGAAGGAAATGGGTTTCGCAGACGTGTTGGCGGGTTGCCTATCAGTTCGGAGTCTCGAGACGCCCGGTGAAGAGAGGATAGGCAACCCGCTCGCACGTCTGCATGGCGGTACAGTATCATTGCTGCATTAGGCGGCGAGCCCCACCACAATCCTGTAACAGGATACCTTTTTCGAGGGAATGGTCTCGATCGGTGGTGGCTCCGGCTTCGTTGGTGTTGGTGCCCCGGAAGATATCCTCCCGGACACAGCCGCCCCCGGGGGAGAGCCTCGCGGCGACGAGGCCGGCGGACTGGTGGGGGACGGCGGGGAGGTGCTCCGCACCGGGGCCGCGATGCTCTTTGGCAGAGGGGCGAAGCCGCGGACGTAGTCGTAGATCTGGTCGATCTCGTCGTACTCGTCCGGGGTGACGGCGGCCGAGGCCGACAGCCTGGGAGAGGACGAGGCCGTGGCCAGCGTTCCCGGCGCACGGTTCTCGTCCTGGTGCGGCCTCGGCGAGGCGAGCAGGTTGGCCGCGTCGCTGCTCGCCGACCGCCGCAGGAACGGCACGCCCCTCCACGTCTTGCCGTCAGAGGCCGGCCCGACCGCGGGGGAGGACGGCGACGGCGATGCCTTGGCGTCGATGACGTGTATGCGGTCCTGGACCTCGGCCAGCAGTCGCGTGCACTTCTCCGCTACGCGTGCGAACTCGGGTAGAGATCGGAGCACATCGTCGTTGCGAGTCCGGAGCACCTTCAGGGAGGCGGATAGCGGCACGGCCACCAGGCTGGCGTTCTCCTTCTGCAGTGGGTACGCGAACACCTGCGGGCAGAGAAGCACGTTGTATAGCGCGGGGTAGCGGCGGAGAGCGCGGGGTGACACCGCGGCGCCGCGGCGCGGGGTATCCCCGAGCGGCTCTCACCTGTTCCTCCTCGTACGCGGCCAGCAGCCGCAGCGGCAGGTCCGGGGTGAAGTGGCCCAGGTTGGCGGCCTTGCGGGGGCGGGTGAGGGGGCGCGCGGGGCGGGGCGGCGGCCCGTGCAGCAGCCGGACGGTGAGGGGCAGCCGCTTGGCGAGCAGCGTGCGCGCCGAGTGCGCGCCGGATATGTTGTGCTCCTTGGCGAGCGGCGAGAAGCGGCCGCGCTGCTCCAGCGACAGCAGCACCGTGTCGCCGCGGCTCGTGCAGCACGTGAGGTAGCGGCCGCGGGGGTGGTTGGAGCCGCCAGGCAGCGACACCTGGGGGCAGCACAGGGTCAGACACAGTTCGGAAACAGCCCGCCGAGCAGCTCGCGCGGCCACCGCGCTACCGCGCTACTTACCTCCTCCCCGGGGGAGATGGTCTCGCCAACGGCCAGGGTGCGGGAAGAGTCCGCCGCCTGGACCGCGGACCCTGACGCCTCATCAGAGTCGCCCTTGACGGCCTCCTTGGCCAGGATGGCGCGCAGGGGCTCACGGACGAGGCAGGGGCACGGCCGGCGGCTGAGCTCGGCCACCGACTCGACGCAGCGTCCCGCGCGGCCCTCCTCGCTCAGCAGCTCGAACCAGCCCGCGTACGTCTCCGGGATGGACAGGCGCGGCCCGACGGCCACGGGCCCGCGCCCCGGCCGCAGCTTGACGGCCTGCGCGATGATCTGCCTGCGCCGGCCCGCCGACACCAGCATGACGGTGGGCTGCAGGCTCGGGTGCGGCAGCGAGGGCACGCCCAGCCCGCCGCACGAGCCGCGCACGATGCGCAGCACGGCCGGCAGCGGCGCGCCGCCGCGCACCACCTCGCCGAGGGGCCGGCCCCCGGGCGCCCATCGCGCGGTGGCGCACACCACCTGGCCGTCAGGCGCGGCCATACCGGCGCATCTGCAACAGGGAAACAGCACGGGGAGGGTCAGCATCCGGCGGTAGCCCTCCTGACACATGGACGACATTATTATGCTTCCCTTCCGCCCGCTCGCGGAAACACAATAAAACACGCTAGAAAAAAAAGGTTCAACAAAAAAAAGTACAGAGGGGGGACGTGACGCATGAAGTGGCACAGCACAGCAGCAGCACAGCAGCAGAGCGGCGCAGCCAATGCTGCTCCCGGTGAACGGCCGCTGAAAAGGCACGGCGCTAACAAGTTGGCAAAGGTAGCCTGAAAATCACTCACGGGCCGCGCATTCGATATAACAACATCTGTCACGAGGGCAGTGCGAGGTTTATGTAGCGAGGTTTACAATGGCCGCAACGCGCTCCCTGACCCAATAGCTTATTATTCAAAGCCAAAGTACGAGAGACATAGTGCAAGACAGCGAGAGATAGAGCAGATAGACAGGGAGAGACAGAGAGAGAGAGGTAGAGACCGAGAGAGACAGGGACAGGAGAGGGATAGACGGACGAGGTGAGTGGCACGGAGTTGGGCCGAGTTCAAGGACGGGCGTGCTCCTCCTAGCGTGCCCTGGAGCGAGGCGTGCAGGGGCGTGCAGGGGCGTGCAGGGGCGTGCAGGGGCGTGCAGCGGCGTGCAGCGACGTGCTCCGCCCCGCCCCACCCCGCCTCTTCCTGGCGGGCATGTGCTTACTGGGCGTGCGGTCCACGTGTGAAATGGTCGAACACAGGCGAGGCTGAGTTAATAACGGCCGAGAAAGTCATTGCTGCATGGGGCTCTAACTGCTCACAGCCGCAATGGTGTGGTATCGGTCGATCAGAGGGAGCACGGCCCTCAGGCACGGCAGGGCACGGCAGGGCATGGCGGGGCACGGTAGGGCACGGCAGCGCATGAGCTCGCATTACTAACGAATGGCCTGTGCGAACACGGTTTACCCCGACTGACCCTAATTACAAAATAATGAAATGATTTAGTCATGCTTTTTTTTCGTTGCTCCGGGTCGATACACTCGTCGCGGCCGGGAGTACAACGGTACCCGCGGCCGTGCGCCTCCCGTACTTCCCATAGGTGCAAGTGGTTTCCTGGCCGGGAAAAGGATAAATTATGTATGGAATCGGTAGCTTTTTCCCTCTCGGACCGAGCCGAGCAGAGCCGAGTCGAGTCGAACCGTGCCGAGCCGAGCCGGTGCAGGCCGGGCCGAGCCGAGCCGGGCGCACTCGCGAGCAACGACCGGACCGCGGTGTGGCGTGGAGCGGCGCGGCGCGGGCTGGGACCGGACGGACCTGCGTGCCATCCCACCAGGGCCCGGCCCGGCCAGGCCGGCGGGGCAGTGCCAACATGCCATGCGTCCGGGCTTCCGTGGCCATGCCGTGGCCGAGCCTGCCTGTGGTCCTGTGGACCCTGTCGATAAGCCGTGTGCCGTGTCGCCTAGAGGCCGTGCCTGGAGCCCATGCCTGCGGGGCTGTAGCCGACAGCGGCACGTGGATCCGTGCGTGGCAGCGAGTCCCACCAGAAGATGTGCCCCTCTCTGTGCGACCGTGCCTCAGGGCAGCGCCTGCCTGTGGACTGTCCCGAGGCTGTGCCCAGAGCCAAAAGCCCTGCCTGCTTACCACACAGGACACACGTGCCTGGCCGTGCTTGCCTGTGGACTATCCCGAAGTTGGGCTCAGAGCCGTGCCTGCCTACACCGGTGCCCGGCCGTGCCTCATGGGCAGTGCCTGCCTGTGGACTGTCCCGAAGCTGTGCCCACAGCCGTGCCTGCCGACACACGTGCCCGGCCGTGCCTCTGGGGGCCGTGCCAGCTCGGCCATGCCGCAGTGCTACCAACTGTTGTTGTTTGTCGCTATCTGATGCGCACTGCTGCTGGACCGATACCACGCTGGAGGGGCACTAGACGGAGCGCGAAGGGAAAACAAAACACACACACACACACACACGCTCGCAAAAAAAAAAAAAAACGCTACCCGGCAGGATTTGAACCCGTGACAAGGATCTGCCCCCGCCTCCCGCAGCACGAAAGCGAGTCACTGGGAACACGACATGCAACCCTCTCCTCTCTGGGCTGTGTCCCGGAGCAGGGCGGGGTCCTGGCCTATGCTGGAGGAGGGAAGCACTGGAATGCTTCATCACCCGAGCAGAGCACCCTCCAGAGGCGTTTAGGGCTGTGACGCGCGGTGCCTGGACCACGTATTTTTAGGAAGGAGGGAGGGGGGTACCAAATATTGGGTTTCAAAAGTATCAGCATCAGCCCTTTTGACCCGGCGCTGCCGTGGAGTTCACGGGTGGCATCTGAGCGCGAGCCAATCACAAACGCGGCGGGCGCCCGCTCTCGGCACCGCTGCTCCTCGCGAGGCTTTATGGACTGCGCGTTATCTCCATGACTTACGACGTCCCGCGCCCGGCGGAGGGCGGCAGGGCGGCGGCGGGTGCGCTGCCTGCGGGCGCCCCCGTGCACGAGCCAGCCACAGCAATCAGGAAACGGACGTTAATTTCAACGACTGTCAGAGCAACAAGGACCCACCGACGCTAAACGGCTGCCAGGCCAGGCCCCGTCCGCTGGAGTCCAAAGGCATCTGGACGCGATATATGGGCAGCGATTTCAATCAAACTGCTGCGAGGCGGTTCGACCGTCGCGCGTCCCTAAATATTTTATATAGGAGAGAAATACTTTTCTCGCTTCCATATTCCAGTACGCCTTCCAGCAGCGGACCCGGTGGCCCTGCTGCTGCTCCTGGAGCCGCGCCGCCGCCGTCCCTGCTCGGGGCCTCCAGGCCGGCGGCGGCACCCTGAGCCTCCAGCGCGCGCTGGTCCACTTAGCGCTGGCTTGCATAATTGCAAGTAACGCCAAATAATACCCGTCCGGCACGACGCCGGCGCGGCGGCGGGCGCCCGGGACATTCACAGCCACTTGATGCGCAAACACTGCTCGGACCCGCTTCCAGCAGCGGGCTTCCAGCTTCCAGCGCCGGGCTTCCAACAGAGCTTCCATCCGTGCTTCCAGCAGAGCTTCGTGATTGCTACTTGTTGTTGATTCCCCCTTGTTCGACGGTTGTGCCGGGGGAAGGGGGGCAGCCCCGGGGCGGAG